ATTATAAATAGGTGGGGGGGGGGGGGGGGGGAGAGGGGGAGAGAGAGAGAGAGAGAGAGAGAGCTAAGCAGCATGTGATCGCATTTAGAGTATGCCATTACCATCACTTGTTCTTAGCTCCAGATTGTCAATAAAGCAAAATACATGGGGTAGTTTGTTGCAATAAAGGACCATAAGTCAATGAGTTATTCCTTTCTTTTCGATAATCATAGTGCACAATGCAACATGCATATTAAAGTCATTTGTATAAACCCATATGGTCACACAAGACCCTCAATTAGGGGTGAATTAAATTAGTCTAAAAGACAGAGGCTCACCATGCCATTACTCAAAATTCATTACTGACCCAGCAAACTCAATTTGAAACGTATTACCATTTGCTGTACAATACATCATAATGGCCTGATTTGTTAATAAAACATGTTAACAAAACAGTATAATGTGTAAAATTTATACCCATCTGTTTACAGGGGGCTTGTCGTTTATTGTTCCCAATTTTGTCTCATCGCTTTCCAACTGTTTGTTGAAAGAAAAAGCACAGTTTGAGGTCTTTAATGAAAAATTAGATCTTCGTGAGCAACCTTACCTAGCCTTGAAATATAAAAGCTGTGCTGCTGCTGCTGTAGAGCTGCCGGGTGGAAATGAGGGATTCAAGAAAGACGTGGTTGAGTGTATCTAATTCACTTACAACAACAGTGTGGGTTATGGTTTCAGTCTGCAGCAGATGAGTGTTGAAAACATATGAGGTAGTGTGGTGAGACCCAATGAAATCTTAGCCAGTACTGACATTGTACTGCTGCGGTCATGTCACTCAACAAGAGCAACAAAACTCTAACCACACTCAACCTAAATTACCAAGCAAACAAGATTTTATAGGGAGATGAGCAGTAGTCAACACTGGATAGAGCTGTTCAGGCAATTCATAGGACAATGTGAAAAGGTTAATTCACCACCTGATCCCTCAGAATTTATTTTTTTAATGAGTAATTTACGAGTAAAATAGGAAATGCATTTAACACAAATAATAAAATTCTTGCCAGTAATAATTTTCATATTATGGTTGATATTACAAGTCTACACTATTGTCAAAATAAATAAATAAATATTTTGAATTGATACAAGTGCATTTAGGCATCAAAACATTATAATGTTCATTATGAAAAAAGGATACATTATGAGATTTGAGATTTTGAATGATCATTTTGTGTAATTTATATTGCAGTCCTAATCATGAAAGTCTCTTCAAGAAATGTTAACCAAATTTAATTCATAAATCAAAAACATGTTTTTCTATAAACTCATTAGAAATTCCTGAGGGAACACATGGCTCGAAAACGCTCGTTCTCTTCCAGGTTTTAGGACTACAAATTGAACAGCTCTATAAACTTGTAGTGCAGATAATTCAAATTCGAATTAAGAAATCACATAAAGCTATGCTCATACCACTAACAAGCATGAAAATGAGAGGAAATCGCTCTTTCAAAAGATAACCATGTCAGTAAAAGACAATTGAATTTAAGACACCAGCATGGAGTGCTATCAAGATGTTTTTTCATCACTCTTTAGGCATCTTCTCTCAACGGTTAGAGGCATCATGCATCAGTTTAATATGTTCGAGATTCATTAAGCAAGCTATAAAAAAAACAAAAATCTTCACCTGTCTTTCTGTCTATCTGCAAGTCCATCTTAGATTACCTGTCAGCTTTTCCTGGAAAGCCCTGAGTAAACAACACATCATTTCCTGTCAAATCAGCTCATCAGTGACCTACCCACACTCCATGGCGTGGATTCAACTATTTGACTTAGACTTATTCATGAAATATTGATTGGGATAATCCTGGAGTTAAGCGGCAGCAAGAAGCCAGCAGAGTTACTTGACACGAGCAAATACATTTTCTGGGTTAAATGAAACATGCATGGCCTGTTAAAGAATACATGTATTTATAATAACAGTTGTTACATAGACATACTGCTTAACAATCAATAAACTGACAACGCTTAACCTTTCAGAGCATAATGCTTAAAGAAATACATAAACGCTGTTGTCTCTATGATGGTGAAATATGCATGTTTACTGTAGCAATGACAAAATATCATCAAGCCAATTAAATTCAATGAAAAAAATGGCAACAGTTGTGACAATGCAAGTTGTAGTGCAATCGTAATTAGGTTTGGCATTCAATTTGCAATCACAGAGACGTTATACTGCTATCATGAACATCACATAATAAATTGCAAATGCATGTGAAAAGTCATTAATGATCATCAGCAGGAGTGTATTGTATAACACCACTCGACACTCTAAAAGTCGGTTAACTGCCTTACGACAACCGCAGGTTATTCCTCTGACCCCCTGCCTTTATTTTCAGAACCCTCTAATGTCAACCAAAAGCCTGGCTGTTGAGTCTGACATTGTTATTGAACTTGAAGAAGCTCTAGAGTGTTGTGTCATTGAGAACACTCTATGAGAGCAATGCCTTTCAAATTGTATTAGGGCTAAGCCATGGACGGTCTCATTCGGCTGCCCGTGGCCTATTCAGCACTGTTCTATTCCACTCGAGGCCCTCTGCTCCTAGCAACAAATTGCTCTCAACATTTCAACCCACCACTGAGCACCAGAACAGTTAGTCACTGACTAAATATTGCAACTGAGGCCTTTCTGTTGTTCATGACAATGTCCATGACACTGAGTGATGCTGAAATCACAGGGAGGCTCAAGGCAAGGCTGAGAAGAGATTGACTTCCACGGTTTAAGTACAGTATCTTTGTAATGTCAGGAATGCCAATGAATGAATGAAGGAATAATTAAATGAATTAATTAAAAATTAATGAATGAATGAATGACAAAACATTTAAAAAATAGATAGCAGGTTACTCATTATAATATGGCACATTCATCCTTCTAGAATTATCTCAACCTATTCTTAACTTGTCTTCTGTTAACTGTGAAATCTAACATGGATACGGCACATTCATGCTTAAAGGCCATGACATACTTGAGGAACCAGATGAAAGGTCAACATAAGCGTGCAACGAAGATTAGACTGAAAAAAGAGCAACACATTTTAATCAACACAGTAATAAAAAAAGGACAAAAGGTCCACAAGTATGAGCTACCAACTTAGTAATCACATTTCAAATTAATTATATTTTTTGGAACATTTCCAGTCAGTTCTTCATTCTGCTCTAATGAAGACATTGTTTTCTGCTCTTCTGTTTATCCCATGGTTGTTATTTTGATGACAAGGCAAAAGTTTGCTTATCACTCCCCTCCCTCCATTTTGATCTGTCTCTTCGAATGAATATGCCAAAGAAAAGTCATAATTATCTGTGCTGGTAGTGAGTGATGGAGAGGTAAAAAGAGAATGAAAAAAATTCTTGGCTGATTTCATCACAATTGTGAAGTGGACAGACACGGGTGGCCTGTCTTCTCACAGAGACTTTTTCAGACGCATGACATATACTGGGTTTTGGAGCGTTAAACAGGGACTGAACCCAGTGGCACGCTCAAAGAACAATATCCCTGGTGTCAGCGTTCTGTGATGTGTCTGCCACACACTTTAGAAGGAAGGCACTGGGGGCAAGAACCTGCTCCGTTTTAAAGAGCCGCTGTTCCCTCTAATGGCATTTGGATCCCAGCAGGAGTCTCAATACAGCCACAATGACTGCACATCAAACCACATCAATGCCAGCTCCGCTTCTCTCTGGAATTGTAGGCTGTGAATATAGGGTCAAAATAACAAAGAAATAGGGGAAAATAGCAAAAGTGTGTGTACGTGAGAAAGGAAGGACCCGTAGCAGGAATAAACACATTTAAAATTGTTGGGAATTTGCTTAAGTGATGACTGATCAACTGCATTAACCAAATAAAAGGTTTA